AGTCAAATGAATTAGTCATTGTATTCACTCAGACTTGTTATACAGAGACACAGACTTATCAGAGACAAAATTAGTTCAGCTGCTCTCCCCTTTTCAGAGGAGGCTGTGTATCACATGAGCACAGGTATCACATGATCTTTACCACTGATAATCACTTTGCCGCAGACAGAGCGGGTCACGTTCCTGATCGCATTCCCGTGTTTCTCTGTAAAACCCCAACACAAATGTTTAACTTTACAAAGATGCTGCGTGTATTTGCAGCAGTAACACCTTCCCTAACAAAACTGAGTAGTGTTAATTGCAAACCTATTTACTGACAGTTGACAAGTACAACTCAATATTAATTTTAAAAAAAGGAATTTACGCCATTTGCACAGCAGTAAACCGTTGAAAGTTACGGAACAAACACTGAAGCTTTCGTCAGATGCTCACTCTGCTAAATTCAACTGAACTCAATCCTCAAAATACACACACACACACACACACACACACACACACACACACACACACACACAAAGAGATTAGGTAAAAGACTATTCATTAAATCAATGGACTAAACAATTTGAAACTAATTCGCAAACATATAAAAGCAGTCAGACAGCCGAAAAAAGACAGCTATTGACTTAAGCTGACAACCAGTGTTCGAGGGAAGCAGCAGATGACATGTCTTTCCTTTTATGCCATGAGACGAATTTGGGAGCGTGTACTGTGTGCATGTATACACTGAAGTCGGACCTGTCGTCTGCTCCGTCAAACTGGCATCTCGTTTGACCCGCTGATGAGAAGTGCCACGGGCTGCGCCAATGCCTCTGACCTGAACCACACCACGCCGGCATCTACTGACCTACTTCTCGAGTGTGCTTACGCATCGCTGGCACAGCCGCATCAGTTTAGAGCACATGTACAGTAAATGCACTGTATCAGCCACCACTGCCCGCTTTGTGAGGACTGTGTTCAATGTAGTACCGCTTCACCTATTGTTTTGTTCGCTTTACATTACAGCACAATCATATTAATAAACAATGCGATGTGTTGGGTACACAATGTCTGCTCAGCTGATTTATCATTATAAATAATAATAATTAACTGCCTTCTACATTTGGTCAAAAACAATACATTTATACTGCTTTGGATATTATGAAATCTGCACAGTGAAATGAAACTGTGTTATTTTAAACTGCCACATCATCACATCATCAACTGAGTGACCTGTGGATGTACTTCTACTGAACACATTCATATAATGGTCAACAGTTGTTAATGCAGCCGACTGAAGCTGATCCCACTAAATCTTTAATTGCAAGTGAGATCAACCTCACTTCAAATCTGAAATCATATTGGGAATGTGGTCAAGTGTTTGCTATAAGGCCCATCTGCATCGTAGCTCTCAACTGCATGCCACATTCATCTGTTAGAGGAAAACTACAGGAAACGATGATTTCAGATTGATGTACCGGTTCGGGAGTGAGGACTGGCTGCCAGCTTTTCCTTCTACCTCTTATTCTCTAGAAACAGGTCTGGAGGCGAGCCAGGCCCTAAAGAGGCTGTGATCACAGAGACAGCACCGGAAAAAAAAATACGTGGGAGAGATCTATTTCACTGGCAAACACAAAACACAAAGGCTGGGTCACAGCGACAGCATGGGGTGTGTTTTAGTTTCCACCTCCTACACGCTCATGCATTAAATATGGTTCAACAATCACACTCTCCAGTGACTCTCAAAACCCTTACTTCCCAGCCCTCCAACTGAACATTTCCTGGGGAATTCCGACCAGGAATGTGTTCTTGATGACGGAGCAACTGTAACAGCTGAGAGGAAAATCACTTTCTAATGAGCATCACGGAAACACAGTTGAGGCTTTGTCTTTAACAATTACTTGTTCTCAACTCTTTGGTCAAAATATGTACTTGGGAATGCATGACTTTGTTATTGTTATTTACGGAGCTGTTTGAGGATTGCATATTTCAGCGTATTTCAAGATCATGTTCGAGACTTGTGATTCCCAGTAAATTAGGTGCCGAGCTGAAAGTGTGAACTAAAGTTGTTGTAGCAGAGATGGCCTTAATAGCTTCCCATAATACAGAATCACTGTGGTAATGGCCTCTCCAATAGATGGCAATAAGTGGGAAAAAAGGCACCATTTAAAGAGTGCTTGGTTTTAATTACCACTGCAAAGTGAAATCGCAGCGTTTAATATTTCAGAAGCTTGGAGGAGGAAGAGTGGAGTGTTGACGATATCAACACATCTGTGCTACTTTTTATATTTTAAGTTTGAAACTTTTCTGACTCCTTTTAGCACAATCTTACAAACGGGTAAATGTTGCTTTTATAACCTTGGGACTTGTGAATAGCATCTAGTGTGTTGTTTGATGGAACAGTACGCCTTTATCAGTTGCCTCTGGCAGATTCATGCTGCATGTGAGCTTGTGACATTGGTGGTGCTGTGATCTAATTATATCTGTGTTCTGTGTTGTGAGAAAGTATAGAGTACTCATTGTAGATGCTCAGACCACTTTTGTATTAAACATGGGCCCGCAAAGGGCTCGTATTGTGAACCAACAGGTGCAGTGTTCCACTGCTAAGATTTACCTAGCTTCAGTATTTCCACAAAAAGATTTATCTGAATGCACAATGTTATTTGCTATTACTACTAGCAAATATTGTTTCCAGCCATTGTCACAAAAACAAACATATATATGCACATACATTGATCAAATCTATTATGGCTAGTCAAAATATAAATACATTAATCCTTCAGACAATCCAGCTCAATTCCATGATATGGAAAAGGTATTTATGATTCATAAAGCCTTTTCAGCAGGATGGAATCTAGAGATTAATCTCTTCTGGCACATTTTGACAATCTGCCATTCAACAAATCTTTTTTTCAACACACTGTTAGGGATGCACATGTCATCCTTTTACTTACATTTCTTTTTTGATTGTTTTTTAAATACGCGGACATATAGCCTCGAGAAAGACAACTCAAAATCCCCAAGATGGGCTCAAAACAAAACACGCTTGCATTTGGGTGAAGTGTCAACATTTCTGACAAATTGCATGACTTAATTATTTCTATTAAGGTAGAGTGATTCACCAAGTCCTCTATACATCACACCTGAAGCAGACTTTAGGAGCAAAGCTGCAGTACACCTTTCAGAAGGATGGATTATCTCAAACTATCTAGCATTTACTTTGCACAAATCAACATAAGGCCGAGAGAACCTATGTATAAATGATACAAACTCACTGAGCGATACAAAACATCCTGTAAAATGGAAAAAAAAGTTTGTTTTTCATCAGTGGTGCTTTAAGAATGCTATGCTACAGAGGAGCTCATGTAGCACTTCCTATTGTGTATTTGGTGGATGCTTTTATCCTGCACTAACTGGTACCATCAGGGAGTACATTTTAAGTGCGGGTACTCCCTGTTGGAATCAAGCCCCTAGTGTGTCAGTGATGGTAAAGATATCCAGAATCTAAGTTCAGGCAGTTTGACATTTTTGACATTTCTAGTTACATCACTCAGGTAAAACATGTCACTCTTCTGTATCGTTTGAAAACCCCCCCCCCCCCCCCCCCCCCCCCCCCCCCCCCGGCATGAGTATCCTTGAATTGACCCTTGCTATCCAAGAAGCCTCTCATAGTGAATGGTCAGCTGCTTTACACTGTAGAGGGGTGGGGGTGAAATCTTTCAAACAGTTGGTAACAACAGCCAATAGCTTCTTCAGTAAATGAGCACGTCAAAAGAGGCTAACGTGGTAGCTAATGTGGTTTGGTGTGCCGAGTCAGCCCGACACTCACACATTTGTTCCACAAACTAAAAGCACTGTATGGAAAACCAACCACGGAAAGATATGTAGGGGGTTTTTACTGTGCAGGGCCCCTCACCCCACAGTTTCTGTGTTGGTTTACCGACCTGTACCTGTGTGAAACAAGAACATGTCACAGCTCATAAAATACATATCTTCACAAGTGCAGTTTATAAGCATCTGTATGGGCGGCAGGGCGGCCTAGTGGTTCTGCTGATATGTCCTTCAGTCAGTCAGTCAGAGGGTGCACAGCCTCCCTGCTGGTGTCTTGGAGAGAGTAGCAGCACCATAGCCAGGTGAATGTGCACTCTTTATCTCTGCAAGCAGGCAGGTGTCAGATAAAAAGAAAGAATTTTCCTACTGGGATCTACGAAGTAGCAGATTTTTTTTTTTTTTTTTTAAACCACTGGGGCAAAGGATGACTGGGCTTGCAAGCTTTTGCAGGCTTAAGAAACTTGACCAAACTGACCATTACAGACTGTCCTCTGCCTATTCTGCCCACATTTTTCCTGTCAGCCTACTGTAAATCATCGGTGGTTACATCCCAAGCATGCCCACTTCAGTCTCACATTGTCAATGTCAGCTTTGATGTTGAGCAGATCCAGATAACATTCAGGTCAAGTCCAACTTACTGTACAGCACATTTCTTTGCCAGGCAGCACTGATGCTGAAGCTGGGCTGTGTTAGTTGCCTATTTAACCTACTTCAAGGCACAAAATTCGGCAAGCCTAAATATTTAACATGCAGCAACAACGGCCAAACAAGTAGGTCAATGAAATATTCATCTTTTTCATTTTTTTTTTTTTTGGTTAACCTCTTATCTGTCAATGTCAAAAGCGCTCAGTCACGTTTTAGGCGAAGAAATAAGACTTGACAGGCTTATAATAAAGCACCAGCTGAAGCAAATCGACTGATGTTAAATCCAAAGAAGAACAAGGAGACGGTGGAGTGGATCACATCACACTAATCATGTGAGAAAAAAAGAAAAGAAAAAAAAAAAGGTCGGCTGCAGGCTGTTAATATGAAATGTTTTCAGCGCTTCTGCTGAGCCATAACACCGAGCGGGTCCGCCTGCCTCCCTGTAGTGAGCCCGTTTGGGAGGAACAGCACCTTCAACAACAGCGCCAGGGTTTCAGAAACACAGTAAAAATATCTTAGGGGGGAAAAAAATGAAGGCGAAATCCTACCTGATGTCTGTCGCTCGTTAATGCATACGGGCTGTCTTGGATGTAGGCGAGGCGACACACACACACACACGCACACACACATACGCACCCATACACACCGCAAGCGGGTCAGCTCAGCTCAGCTCAGCCCAGCTCAGCCTGCCTGCCTGCCTGCCTGCCTGCCTCCTCCACGGCATCAAGCCCCTCCTCGTTTATCGTACAGTGGAGAGAGATGGGAAGAGAAGAGAGAGAAAAAAAAAAAACCGACCACATATCTATGCGCCGAAAAAAAGGAAGCGGCGTCACAATCACCCACGGTGCCTGATAATCATAAAGATGTAGCCCCCAGCTGGACGGATTTTAAAGGCTCAGGAATATTATATTGATTCAAATGAACGACCCTGAGAGATAAAATAGACCTGACAATCAAGTAAATGCATCATGCACAAAAAAAAAACAAAAAAACAACGCAGGAAAGATTTGAATGACTCAGTTGCCTCTTATTTTGAAAAAATGCTTTGAATTTGTGCAGTGAAGTGCACCTGCCAAAAGCGTGTCAGCACACACAAGCATTAGCAAGGGGCAGTCCTCGCTGCTGTGCTGCGCTCTGTCCCACTCTGACACAAGGTTTTCAGCTGGCATTTTCACACAGGGTCACATTTATGCCTCATGGAGGATGGTGTTTTAAACACCATGCAGTACATCTCAGACCAATGCTATCTGGAAAGAGTAGGGAGAAATTTTTCTTTAAGAGAATGTGGAGGAGTTTCCGCACAGCTGAATGATGAATTCATAAACCATGTTCTCCAGTTGAGTATTTTGAAGAGAGCACTTTGCTGTTTTGCATATCTGAGTCATAATTAGAGTATATTTAATGTATCAATCAGACAAGCAGCTCCCTCAGTGGGTGTACTGTTGTTTTCTAAACAGATACTGCCCCCTAATGGAGATACACAAGCATCCAAATGCAAGGACATGCCCGGACACTGGAAATAGAGGACAAAGCACGGGATGTTAAGTGTTGTAATATCTACCCACATGTATTAATGTGCATTATTAATTTTTCATAAATGCAAATGTTATAAGCGGGGTGATCATGTGTTTGTGCACTGGTGCTCAAAATATTTTTTGCTTGATTCACACTGCACTTCCTCTGAATCGCAGAAAATGCTGAGCTATTTCCTAAAAATCTATTGTTGATGGCAGCAATTTGGAACTTTAAAACCTTTTTATCCTGACAGTTAGTATGCACGTTGTTCTAAATTATGTAAAACTGCATTCCTGATTTTCATTCTTCCAGGTATCACACACAAACACACAAAGCGGACACACACACTGACCCACAGTAGGCATGTAATGCATGATATTTTCAAAAGACATAGAGTCAATATTTGCTTTTTTTTTTTTTTTAAATATACAATCTTTAAAATTTACCTCAAATTCTTCCACTTTGGTTTGCAAGGAACAAGAAGTATGTGTGTTACGCTTGAATAACTGATGTGATCTTAACATTTTGGAAAACATTTCTGAGAAGTACCCCATTTAGGACACTTTCCTGGTATATTGTTAGCACTGACATCATTCTGTCCTTTAGTGCCTGGTAACACGTGGTTACCACGTTACTCCACTTGAACCTTGTCCTGTGCAGAGTGGAGCTTTTTTTCCCCCTTACCACTATTCAATCTAGAAAGCCAAGGGACAAACTGTCAAAAGGCCTGTCCTTGTTGCAGTAGCATATGAAACATGCCAAAACATGTAGAACCTGACACAGGATTGTTTTCACTGTTTGAGTGTGTGTTTTAAAAAAAAAAAAAAAAAGGTTTGTGGGAATGACTGCAATAACTGTCAAGTTATAGCTCTCCAATGCAGGCTTACCAAAATTACACCTCTCTGTCAAGCATGAATCATTCATACTACAGCTGATTCGTGTCCCACCACAAGGGGGAAGCACTGGCATTACAACGTTTCTGTAGAGGTTGCAGGCCTAAAGAGCAGTGGTTTGTGTGGGTGTAAATAAATCACCATTCTGAGTCTCTTTTAACACTGATGTTGACTTTTCAGAAATCATATCTCTTATATATATATATATATATATATATATATATACTATATATATACAGTACATATAGTATATCTAGAATGGTGTGATGATGAAGCAATAAAAATGTCTTAATATTTCTTTCAAAGTGAGTGTGAGTAGCGGACTGAGCAGATATAGATTATACTAACACCAGATGGTTCAACCAGTAGCAATTGCTACATTTATTTCAATACCACAAGGACCTCAGTGGCAAGTTATTAACCATTGCTCTCACTGAAACACCTGATTGACCTGTAGCTCTCCTAAACTCAGTGAAGCTTGGCCAGCTTTATCCCTTGAACCATTGCCACTTAAAGTTAATGGCACTTCCAATGTTCTGAAAATAGCGCAGAATTATTATCTTATCAGATCACTTTGTTTATCTTAAATGAACAAGGTCATACATCTAATTTCAATAAATGGAAAAGCAAACGTGAGTTAACAGCCTACCACTTGTTTAAAAACAGTTGTTCACTTTCAATGTAGTGAACTTATCTTGCCAAAACAGTACAACGGCTACTACAGGACCACGGAGCTCTGTTGTGGTTTGGATATTTCCATGGGAACCAGTGGCCAAGGAGAGAGGGAGGATCCTGTTCAAGCAGCATAGGGGGAGGCGTGTGTTAGATTCACTGGTTTCCTGCTTCATTTAAACTGCCTGCATCTCTCAAACAGCCACAGATGTGCTGCTCTTGACAAGAGAGAACCTCCATCTGCAGTCAAGAGAGCCTCAGGGATTTGTCACAACACCCTGAACTTTTAGCCGGAGCAATCAGTCCATCCTGTTCAGGAACACTTAGTGGATTATCCATATCTTCAGAACATAAGGTAAGAAAGTATTCCTGCAAAGTTAATGATTTTAGTTGTGAGGGCACAGTTTTCTTTTTATAGTCTGTTTGTGTGAGTGTTTGATTTCAGGACACTTAACAAGAATATTCTTTCAATTTTACAGAGTTTCCCCCTCATTGCTACCACAGGACCCATGTGGGTGGTGGAGAAGATTCGTGTGTCAGTGGAGAGATCGAACCTGCCCATCCCATCAGCCGAACTCAGCTTTAAAATTGGTGATATCATGTTTGGAGAAAGAGTTGACAAACCCAAAAGGATTTCTCTCTGTCCTAATGTCATCACCCCTGACAACATCCCAGAGTTCTGCATCCCCCCAACAATCCCATCCCTGCATGAGATGAAGAACACGGAGCAGGGCCGAGCCGCTCGCCTTCCGAAGGTGTCTGCCTGTGAGAGGGCTAGCCCTGACATAGAGGTGACACCTCATGAGCTTCTCAACACACACATCATCCAAGTGGAGAGTGTGGATGAGAGCCCCTACGATGGCTGCAGTGACGAGGAGACCACCAATGCGGATCCCCAGAGTCAGGCAGCCTTGTCCCTTCCACACCTGGCCAAAACCCAGACCTGCTACGGGTTTTGCACCTTACTGGAGAGCCCCCATACCAGAAGGAAGGAGTCGCTCTTCCACTCTGATCCTGGCTCCTCTCCACTGCTGCTGCCCAGGAGCCGTTCCAGCGTGTGCTCCAAAGCCTCCCCCTCCACCTCCCCTTCCTCCTCCCCTTCCTCTTTCAGTCTTAACACCCTGACGTCAAGGCTTTCACCGAGATGCTACACACTGAACTGGCACACCACTCTGGACAGCGATACGACTTCCTCTACTGAATCCTCTCCTTTCAGCTCGCCACTGCTGACCAGGTGCCCTGCCAAGTCTTCCCTCTTCAAAGCACTGAGTCATGAACTGCTGTTGTCACGGAACATGAGGAAGGCGATGGTGTCCAGGAACAATTCCCTATCCACAGATGAAGGCAGCTCCACAGACAACAGCCCCAATGTCATGAGGAGGGCATCAGAGGGGTTAGCTGAAGGCCTGCCCAGCAACTGCAGCCTGGCGCCGCCCACCATTTTTCCCATGGACTTGACTCTGCACCGAGAGAGGGTAATGAAGGAAAGAATAGTACCCATAGGGAAAGATGGCAGCCTGAGACTCTCAGCAGAGTACTGTCTGGATAACCAAAGACTACGGGTTCGACTGATCAGTGCTGAGGGCCTATATCCTCTCTCTGTAGATCCCAAGATTATCAACTGCAGCATCAGCCTCTCTCTGGTTCCTGGAAAAGTCCAGAAGCAACGCAGTACAGTCATCAGAAAGAGCCGTAATCCCATCTTCAATGAGGATTTCTTCTTTGATGGTATCTCAGAGGAAGACCTCAGCCAGCGGTCCCTTCGCTTTAAAGTGGTGAACAAAATGTCCACCCTGAAAAGAGACTATCTCCTCGGAGATTGTGATTTGCCTCTTTCTAGCATTGTGCCATTATAAACCTAAGTACTTCCTCATCAGCTTATTTATGAATTCAATTATTTATTTCCATTTTTGTATTGTAAAACAAGATTTTATAATGATTAAATTATGGAAAACACTAAGATTGTTTGTCTTTAATACATTTCATTTCAAAATAAGACTCTAGACAAAATAAGGCCTTATACAATTGGTTCAACCGGTTTTTATAAATACATGTTTTTTGGAATTAAATTCTCAGGATAATAATAATATCAAAAAACAAATGCACCACAAATAAAAAAAACGTATCCTTACCTGTTAAAATAATGATTTACAGCCTTTTCATTCATTGGTGTGTTAATGTGGCTGCAGCATCAGGTGCCGTGAGACAACCACCATCTCATATTTCTCCTAAGCCTGTTGTTTTCGTCCTGACCTTTCCCATGATTAAAAATATCACTAGAAACCAGAAACCTTAGAGGGGAGTTTTCACTGTTGAGTATGCATAATTTCAATCAGTGCACAATAAAAGCTCTGTCTGTTTTTTTCCCCACTATGATACAGAACAGATACAGAAATACACTGATACACTATGAAACAGACTGTTACAGTCAGGAATATTAACTGAAGCTGTATGAGCAAGTTTTCCTCTGGTTTTTCATTAAACTATGAAAATAATATTTCTCAGCAAGGCCAATTGTCTTACTAGTTACAATTACTTTGCTTATGACACAGGTCTTTTAATAAAGTTTTTTTTTTTTGATGGTCATGAAGAAATACTCTTTAAAGAGTACTTTTTGCTCTTACATAACATTTTATCTTAACGACAATACAACCCACAGCTCTGAAAATATCAATTGGGCTGAGAATTTGATTATAGTTTAGGTGGCTAAAAGGCTAAATACAAAAAAGAACTGCACTGCTCATAATATGAAGTAGAACAGGCCTATTTTCAGGCAACTACAGAGCCAAACACGATTTATTTTGAAGACAAAAGACAGTATCTCGCAATATAGATACATGTTTACACAACTGAACAGACTCTAGGCAAGTATATCCTGCTGCTTTCTGCAATAAAGATCAGGCTTAAAAGCACCGACTGCCACTATAGCTCCTAGTTAAAGATTAATAGGTTTCTCAGGGCTCAGAAAAGCTCTGAAAGGGGACAACTGCTGGTTATACAGTATATGCCAAAACAACATACAGTAATGTGAGGAGATGGGAAGCATTCACAAATACATATAAATAGTTATCGCTGCCAACAATATAATATAACCTGCTGGGAGATTGATTTTAAAGCTCAATGGCAGTAATGACGCATGTTTTATAATGCAAATATTTTACTAGATTTTACAGTTTGCATTGTGCCACTGAGAAAAGCCTCTGGACAAATATAGCTCATGATCCACTTTCAGTTTGAACTACAGATTCAGCACGGCCACAAAGAACCTGCAATCCCCTCTCAATTGTTTTGATGGAAATAAGGGTTTTGTGTTTCTACAATACACGGCTTAATACACAGGCTTTTGCGTTACCGTAAAACATGGCAACATCTCATTTCTGACAAAGAAACCTATAAAAATCCCACACAGACAACCTACATTTTTCAACAATACCTCTCTGCACACAGGATGTGTTTCCAGATCCTGCAAGGAGGCTGATACTGTTGGACACTTTTGTATAGAGTGTTGACTCAGCTGTGAAATGCCCTGTAATAAATGAGAATTACCTGTGATTCCCCTTTGCTGGTCAACCACTGATAGGATTCAGAGGGATTTCCACTAATCTATCTTCATTCAAAAGAGCAGAAGCGTTGGTTTTATGGAGCACAATGGTTACAGCTGCATTAGGACCTTGATTCATGCCGGTGCCGCCCATACCAAAATGTACCTACCAATGGACACTGAATAAATGCATCAAATAATGACAACTATTCATATTCAATCCCCGGAAAACTGCTACTTCCTAAAACACAGCACACCTTTAGCGTTGCATACTGCACTGGGTGCAAGAGAAAAGTCTGACTAATAAAGTCATCATAAATACACAGGCAGGACAATTTTAACTATAACGCACTAAATTACTTTAGAACATTTTCATATTTGCCTTTTGAAAATAAGATTCGAAAGATAAAGAAATATACAGCAACAGCAGGAAATACAAAGATGCGGGCTGTTTTGCAGTGTTTTGTACTTCCAGCTGTAATTTCATAGCAGTAATTTTCATATTATCTGTAGGAAACATCTGTCTCCCTAAAAGCTGTGCATCATGAATGTAAATGCACCAAAGGGGAAGTGCACTGGCTTAATCTCAAGTGTCTGAAAACAGTTGCCTGGTTACCTTCATTCACCAGGATGCCTTTGCCCGGCTAATGCACATTTACAGTATCAAAGTAATGAGCTGGAAATGACAACAACTACAATATTATAAATCCCCACTCTCCCATATACAGCTCTTTCTATTTGCATCAAACCCTTTTCACTGTTTCTTCAAATGGAAAGAAAATGTTTTCTTACCAAGTAATGCAAACTATCCACTTCCCTTACCATATCTCACTTGTCTTTTTTTAAAACCTCCCTACGTAAACGAGTCTGTTCCACCCAGGTCGATTATCTTGTTCTCTGTTTTACCAGGCTCTTCTATTGTGCCAAAAAATATAACATACACCTTAAAATGTCACAGTAAACATGTTTGACCAATGTAGTCTCCAGTACACTCTTTAGTCCACCTTCTTGTTCTCAGGGTAAGAACTGCTTTATGGATCTCTATTGTAATTTGTTATCCACCTCCCACTGCTATCCATTATCTGTCCTGCAAGAATGGTCTCCCGGTGTCACTGCCATGATGTTGTCAGTACAAAGCGCTCTGATGTCTAATACCCATACACCAGTAAGGAAAGGGGTTGAGTTTATTGACTGCATATATGCAGATAACCATTAAAGCAGACTGTTAATGACAATCTTTGACTGTCTTCTAATAGGTGAGCATACTGATCACATATATGTTATAAATTCTGTATTTGATACGAGAAAAATAAATCCTTCCAAACACCAAATTTGATCTTAAGTTGCAATATTAAACAACTGTCATCAAATTACCTGATAAAAAGGGGTCAAAATCTTCCATGATGTTAGTGGCTGTGGGCGATTGTTGTTTCAGGGCCATGACATCACCGTTTATGACCCACTCTTCAAACCGGTAAACACTGCCTTCAGTGTTCAGCTTTGCAACAGATTAGTGGAAGTAATGAGCAAGCTATATGATGAGCTGCATCATTAGTTTGTGTGAGGACACATCATGACACAAGATGAAACCAGATCTGACCGAAACAGACACACACACACACACACACACACACACACACACACACACACACACACACACACACACACACACACACACACACACACACGCACCCTGTCTGCCTGATGATGCTCCAAATTTACAGGAGTCTGCAGTATTTAAGTGAGGTAAGAGATTGTACATTTCAAGTGAACATTAATTTAATTTGTTTATAAAAATGCTTGAATGACATAATACGTGTGTGTTGAGATGATTGGCATAACTGACATAACTCAGAATATTTGATTTGACTGAATGTGTCGCTCTTTATTGACATTTCCAGTGTCACACTAACAATTCAGGTCATTCATTCTGCCTCTGACTTGTCAGTTACAGCATCAATTTAACAATGGCGAAAAATCAACTTCCTGCGACCGCCTCACATATTGTTATCTGTATAGACATTCACAGTTTACGATAAGGCCAAGAACAAACCATGCTGTATCTGCACGTAGCAGACTCATCACTGGGACTGTGCACCTGCCCTGTGTTACACCACCTACTCAATCACCTCAGGCGCAGCATGGAGCTGAGTCCAACCGTGACCTGTTTGGTACATAACAACCAAACATACTGGAGGTTGGACTTCCTCACATCTGATCAGACTTATATAAACAGAACCACGGTGATTGAACTCGTTTGACCCTGCTCTGTTTCGTAGGCGCTGAGACTCCACATGAAGCCCTCTGAACACCACGCTTGTCTGGCTTGAGAAAGCAATTACTCACAAGCATGGATGCTTAGTAATTGGGTATCTTGACAGTATGTCAGTAAGAAGAAAAGCCAAAAATAACTCATCATGAGGCCCTGTGTAACACACCGGTTGTGTGTTCATTTCTCAGTTGCCCCATGTGATATGTCTGATCACACTCGGGAACAGGCACATGCTGATGGGATGGTAAATTGCATTAGGACAATCAGGACAGAGCTTGCACAATATTGGCTGAATAGCCATTACACAGTTAGGCAAACAGTCTGCCACGTACTGGTCATGTGATAGGCGAGGAGGGGTGACACAAGAATAGCTGGATTTGTTTGTTTAAAGCTAATTATAGATGTTAAAAAATTATTAGATACACAATATATAGACTACTAGAGCTTTTACTATTTCTTTTAAAGAAAAACTGCCATAATAACACAATGAAAAGTATATTCAAACTCAAGGCAAAAATAAACTGTGCATGATTAGGTACATGGAAAGATGACACTGTCTTCCTGCCTGTCTTTCTGTGTTTTTCCTCTTCCAATAGCGCCTTCCACTCCCATGGCAACGAGGCCCAGCTCCAGGGGAAACCATGGAGATCCTGCCTTTCATGTGTGAGATGCTTTTATTTCGACACATAGGTTGATAGAGGCTGTCCCTGTCTGTTTGATTCAGATGCATCTCAGCTTCAGTCATGCTGCTGCTGCTTGCATCCAAAGCCAGCTGTCAATACATCCTTCCTGTGCATCTAAAATGAAGTGGGAGGCAGTGGATTATGTGTTGGGAATACTCCTTGCAGTTCTGAGATAAACATACATGTATATATATATATATATATATGTATACACACACATATACATAATTATTTGTCCAGATAGATGGCCAGATTTAAATAGACATAAGAAAGAGTTTTATACTAATTTGCAACACATTTTATAGATGCAAAGAGCCCCAGTTAAGAATTCTCCTACCAAGAATAATCTACCAATCACAA